TCAACTTTGTATTAATGCGCGGCACATTTTATTTGCATTACACGGATTTTGAATTCAACTAACGAATCAATACCTGCATCATGATACCAAACCTCCATTCCAAAAATATACACGTTCTAACGTGGCGCGTAGCGTGGTGTGAACGCAGGGAAATGGGGTTCAAGTATTCGTGTTCATGTATTTGGTTGGAAGCATTTGTTCAACATTTGCTCCAGGAAGCTACTTCATTTCTGGTCTGGTCGATCTTTAACCCTAATCGTACCAAATTTCCGCAAATTTTATGGGATTGGTAAAATTAGGGTTAGAACCCATTAAACAATTTTAAGGATTTTTAACCGATTTCTGAAAAATTCGTGTTTACAGTTGCACAGTTTAGCCTCAAACCGACTTTTCTGCACGTTGTGGAGCATTCCCGATAAATCATACGAACTGAGTACCTTCGCCCAGGTTTTGAACTAACATTATTATTATGAATTCATGGAATCTTTTCTCCCTGTCCATATTTCAACATATAGTATACTAGACAGAATTTTATACATCGAAAAAAAAAGTCTACAAACAAGCTGCTCTGTGATTGGATGTCAATGTCAGAGTTTGCTAGTCAATCAGGCTCAATCTTGTGAATAACTTCACATCTATACTATGTTATGCCGAAGGCGACAAAACAATTGCGTATCACACTCGATTCCCAAGATATTTTCGGGTATGATTTATTTTGCAACTGTGGCAGCGCTAGATAAGTACCTCGTCCTCACGGCGGTACGAGCGAAATGCAAATCAGCATAATACATAGTATGGGTCAAACAGTCATCGTGAGTCACGTGTTTGGAGGAGCAAACGTGATTTGCTAACCTCTATTTAAAATGAATAAACACAACGAACATTTACAAATCAGCTGTAAGAATATCTTGTATTTTCAAACTGTTATACAGTATTGTATATAAAAAAAGATTATTTATAGGTAGAAAAATTAATATTAATATTTAGTCATGTAAATTATTCAATGCTAAAATTACAATTTGACAATTCAATTCAATAAAATACAATATATTATCTTTTTGAACAAATTAAAAATAATATTGAAATAACATATTTGCGTGATGACCCAAAATTATAAGCTGCTGGTAGCAATGTGCAACATACTGTTGGAACACCTCCTTTAACACCTTGTTGAGTAATGTGCTTACAGTCGCGCAATAATGTTCACGCGAGAAATCGGTCTAAACTATTTTTTACCCATAGTGCAATATTAAAAATGGCCACCAAACAACACAAAAATATATAAATATTTTCTAACCCTCAATTCAATTCCTTGTGGAGAAAAATGCTTTCTGAGAAACACACTGTTGTTGTTTTTTCAACACAAACGCCATTAAATATGTGATTTATGGACAATACTTCGTTGAGGTATGACGTGTCTCT